AATATTGTCAATAGAATGGTGTTAATTGCAACCACAAAATTCATCTCTACCCCGAACCAGAAAAGGGGAGGAGAGAAAGTCTCACCAAAGTGGCTGTGTGCTTGAATGTCATTGCAATTACAGGTAACATCTATTGACAAGAACACTAGTTCAGCCTGTAAGTACATAGTGGTTGCTGCTATTTTTAAACCACCAATCTTCAGTTTACAAATGTAATAATAAAAATAAACTTACAGTTTTACTTGATCTAAGACTGCTGGAATTGATGTTATAGCCACTGTAATGTTTCCTATTATGTAAACTATTGAAACATAAAGTATCGTTCTGGGGAAAAAAGGCAAATTCTAAATGAGTTTTATTGAATATTTAGTTCTGTCATTGTAATAATCTGTAATAAAAAAAATTATGTTTAACCACAAAGCACATTAGAGTTCTGTACAACTTGTGTTGATGTGTCTATGCCTTCTAAATCCAATTGGAATTTGTAAGTGTTGGTCTTTGAGCAGAGCGAAAGACCGAAGTACCCGGAGAAAAAACCTCTCAGAGCAAAGGAGAGAACCAACAAATAAACTCAACCCAAATACATTGACACTGTGCCATACTGGTGGCTGGAAAGGCAAATGCTCTCATTACTGCGCAACCCTTGAAGATCAAACTGCATAATAATTCCACATCTCGAGCTTACTTGTATTTGCCGAGCAGACTATCAGCTAACATGGCCCCAAAGAGAGGACTAAAATAGCACAGCATGTTGAAAGCATGATAAATTGCTGTAGCAGAATCATCGTCCATCTTCAGCATCTGTGTTAGGTAGATGACAAGAATGGCTGTGGACAAAAAAAAACAAAATTAAATGTTTAAGCCATAATATCCATAATTTTATACTCACTGCTCTTTATACATGTTGCAGTTAATTTTTTATTTCAGTTAATTTTTGGTTTTCCTTTGTTTTAAATTCATTAGCATACATAACCATACCCAGAAACAATGGAAAAATAAAAATTAACTGAAATAAAAATTAACTACAACATACACAGTACATTTATAAGATCCTTAACCCTTTAAGCCCCAATATCCACATACAAATTCTCCAAACTGATCTCTATACATTTCCTTTAAGAATTAGTTGAGAGAATTTGATAAAAGGTCATGGAATTTTCTCTATGGTGATCATTTTATTAATTCTCATAACTTTATTTCTTGACAATGTATGGATATTATTAGGAGAAAATTGTTTTTGGTCACTAATGGCACTTAAAGAATAATATTAGTTGCGAGAACTTGATATGAAGCAAACGCATTTTCCCTTTGGTGATCATTTCATTATTTCTTGTACTACTTGAAAACAGTTCTAGGAAACACAAGGTGCATGTACCCTACAACACTTCTACTATGCAGTAGCCTTGCACCTCTTTCATTTAATTCGACCCCTTTGGGTCGCAGCTCTTTTGTTTCCGGGTTAGGTACCATTCTTAACTTTACATGCATTTGTTCATTGTTTCCCCAATCAATCCTGTAAGGTCTTCCCAGAGCTACAAGGGCACCCCTGCTGTGATCCAAGGCATGACAAAGGTTTGAGCTTTGACCTCCACCATTCACTACTGCGCTTTTCACTCACATGCAAACTCTTAAGTTCAAAAGTCGCCTTCACAATTGCATTTTTCACTGCCATCAATCATAATAAATTATTATAACGATCACAAGCAACAAACCTTGAAACAAAAACACACAAAAAGGATTGAAATCCACCAATCACAAATCACAAACCATGACCTTTTGAACTCATTAAAGTAAAGTTTTGAAATCCTAAGAGGTCCATCAGTTGGCTTTTGAACTTCAGAATTCGCGTGTTTTTGAAAAGTGCAGTAATACAGTACTGTAACTATGCCAGTGTACCTCCACACAAATCTATGTTCACTATAAGGGAGTAAAGCAATGACCACAGTGATGTCAAAGAGAACAGCAAAAAAGCAATAGGTTGGCAAAAAGTTGTTGGCAAAAGAACAACTTTGCATGAGAATAACGCTTTTTTGTACATTTCTTTGCTGTCACCGCACAACTACGTCATGAAAATGCCTAATTTCACATTTTGTGGAGAATGTGAACACAAGATAACGACTTTGTTTTTCTTTTCTTGAACTTTGATACAGTCTTTCACAACTCCAGAAAAAATTGGCAACATTTGATGAATTGAACGAGATGGAATAAGCCCCATAAAGTTTGAAGCATGAAAGACATCTTTTAAGTGACATTTTCGTAGCTGTAGCCCTAGCGCGCTGTCGTTGTTGCTTAAGCTCCCTATTATTATCATTAAAACTTACCATGCATTCCATAGTACGAGAATCTCTCACAGAACTCATTTCCCAAAATGTACCAGACAGCACTGGGATAGCCAGTGTTATGAAATACATTCTGAAACCGCAGAGGAATTTCAGTTACTTAAAATTTCTACTATGAAAATAAACAATAAATTACTTTTACATGATAGTGTATTATTTTGTTTCAGCAAATATAATAATACAAGTAATGGGTAGTTAATGTCTTTTTCTCATAGGTCTGTATTTCCTTCTATTTTTCTTTTCTTTTTTTCATACGAATTTCCTTTCTTTTAGTATTGTCATTACTGTTCTTTTCTCTTTTTCAGTGTTATTAGCTTTTACAGCTACTCTGTTGATCCGAGTTTTAAATAAAGGTGATGTTATGTACATCATAATGTATGGACAAAAGTACATTTTGTAATTTGTCACTTTCATAGACTTCTTTTTTCTTGGCATGCACACACTGTACCTTTATCTTATCAATCCTGGACTCAGGTCTTTTTTCTTCTTTCTCTTTGTCCTCATTTTCTAGAAAATAACAAAGTGGTAAAGTTCAGTTCAGACGACAAAGTTTGTCTGCACTTTCTAAATAAATGGTGATTTCAGGGGCACCCAATGTTAATTTTCCGAAAATTATTCTCTATTCAGAAGAAGATTTGAGATCTAGAATTTTTGGAACATTTGTTGTAATAAAAATTTCTCACAGCCCTCTATAAATTTTTACTTCCTTGTCTTTTCTGGTACAACATGTACTGGATGATAGTAAGATTAAAATGAACGAAAAAGAGGAAGCAAAATATATATAATCCTAATTTCATAGACAATACCCGGTAACAATTTTTTTGTTAACCATTTCCAGTACAGATGTATGTCATGCAAACCTTTATTTCCCTTTTATATTTATAGCAAAAAACAGCTGTTGTATCCAATTACCTTATTTATAATACACCCACAAAGACCTCTACTCTAGCTGGGGTTATTTGAATCAAAACCCAAATTTCACCAACAGTATTGCCGATAATGTGTCATAAAAATATAGCTGAAGCAAAAGGAGATTAATTAAATCTACTGAAGCAAGTTATTATTCAGATGTTCAAAAAATATTGGACCAGAAGAAAAATCAAATACAGTGTTTTGTTGACTCTTTGATCAGCAGTACAGACGCCATTATTTCGCTACTGGGAAGCTTTTTCTTCTTGAATCATGACACAGTGACAATTTATCAACAAGATCAAGACAACTCTCCCTTTCTCTTTCTGCATTTTTATGATCACATTTTATTTTCAAAACAACAGATTGAAACAGTGGCATTCAAGCTCAACAGATTGGCCAGAGGTGAAGACTTCCAGATGCACTAAACCACAAATTAAGGCTAAGGTTTATAATGCAATGCACATGGAAAAAAGACTTGTAGAAAGAGTGTCTTTTCCATAAATCATGCTCTGAATTCACAGATGAATAATATAAGAAGAGCGTAAAACGGCATAGTATTGTTCACTGAGGACAACGGGTTTATTTTAGAACACTTCATCATTTTTACAGCGTGCAATATAGCGCTTAAAGAATAGAGGAAAATAAATAAAGGAAAATAAAGTCAGACTGGTGCTTTTATCATAAAATGCTGGTTTGGTGGCCAGCTTTATTACAATAACTGGTTTTCACAGTCACGCTGCTGGGACGAATTTTTTTCTGACTTCATATGAATTTAAAACACGAAAATCAAGCAAAGAGAATCGAATCAAGCCAATATGATAAGCGTATTCAAGTCAACATCGATTTTCAGCTTAGCCTTAAAAATAATAGAAACGACATTATTATTATTATTATTTTTGATCCAAGACCAAAATAACATCAACATTTTGCTTCCTAGGCGACAACAAGTTTAATCATGAATTTAAAAACGTACAAACGCGTCTCAGTTGAGAGAAGAATTATTTTAAACGACGCGATTTTACGTGTAATTACCTCCAGGTCGCATACAAAAATAAATCGCAAGATACTTCCTTAATTCTTCGTCGATCATAATAAGTGTTATGTTTTATATGAGGGTGAAATCCTGGGTGATACAATTCAAATAAAACTTATGGTACTAGGCAGCCGGGCAGCGTGACCTGAACTTGTGATCTTTCACAGTCGTTCTCATAAAACGCCAATGCGGGATTCAAACTGAACGTTCACAACAAAAAATTATTTCACGTTATTTTAACTTACCTTGGATGGTTTTCAATTCCTCGTCAGTGTCCGTATCATTCAAAGGCTTGTAACCAGTGGACGACATCTCAAACAATCACTTTCTCTCGACTTGGCAGGTAAAAGAGACGACTTTTACATGTTCAACAAACCAAAGCTCGTTAACCAAAACACTCGTTTGTCATTCGATCCTTCCCGCTGGCGGGCATTTTGACACCGCAAGAGTTTTTAGGCCGGTGAAATACGAAACAATTGGCCTTTTAAATCCCTGAAATAGAAGACTGAAAACCAGAGATAGTGTGGTGAAATGGAGATAAATTATAAATAAGCGTAAGGTGAATTTCCTGGTTTCATCGGAGAGGAAAATCCACTATTGACTTCTCGACCAACGCATTCCAGCTGCGCCTTGCTTCTTTGAATCAGCAGTTTCGTACTAAAAGGCAGGTGCAACACTGGTCGGGCCCAATCCTTTGCAACTAAATTAATTTCAAAATGGCTGCCAACACAAGCGCCACATCCGTTCCGACATCAATTAAACCTAATCCTTCGAAAAAAGAGAAAGAAACTTTGCTTGCTGTGTTGCAATTTTTGAAGAAGAACAAACTACCTGTAAGTAACAGGATCGTAATGCGAGTGACGTTACGTTTCTTTGAAAGGAAAGTTTAAACGCTTCCTTGTTGTGTCTGTTTCTTCAGGAAACTGAGAAGATATTTAGACAAGAGGTCAATGGCTTGGAAGATATAGAAGAAATAAATCTGCAGACAACACCAGATTCAGAGGCAGATATCTCATCAGTATTATCTGCATATAATAGGTAGGATGAGAAATTGCTTGAACGACGCGGACTTTAAAACAGATCATATCAGAAACATTTGCTTTGATCGTCTCTATCATCTGTCTGCCAGATAGATTGATCACACAAGTACAATGCATGTACTTAAAATATTCTGAATGCAAAGTTCAATAAATATTACGTGCCTTGAAATCTACTCATGTGAAATGTGACTTAACACTAAGTTGTGTATTGTCTTGTGACGTGTGGCTTGCTTGTTTTTTTTTTTTACCATTATTAGTGATGCAGACCCAACAAGATATGAAGACTATTATAGCAGGTAGACAATGCCTTATACATTGTAACATTTAAGACTATTAAACCCCACTTTGGATTAACTTGAAGTCACCCTACAATTTTATAGCACAGTAGGCATGTCAAACCTGTAATGTTAGTAATATTAATTTTCTTATAGTTTACAAGCATTTGTTGAAAAGTCTTTGGATGTATACAAGGTGAGAATGTTAATCCTTCCACATTTTATGATCGACAATAAAAATTAATGTGCTGAAAACTCATTATTGTTATTGTTATTAGCATCATCATGTATGGTTCAATTTTATCCTTGATTTTTGTATCTGTTAATTTTTTGTGTGTGTTTGTGGAGAACTCATAACCATATGTATAGTTTACAGCAAATTTAAAAACATCAATATGTTTTTAAGGATGTGACAAATTAAACTTCCTCTTACAAACACTAACAATAATAAATATTGTGTTTTTAGCCTGAGTTGGCCATGGTTTTGTATCCAATGTTTGTTCACATGTACCTAGAACTTGTTTATAAAGGAAGTGAAAAAGAAGGTAAGACTAGCAATTTATTCTAGTCACACTTTTTATACAATTATTGGATGAGGTTTTTGTGATATCCAGAATACTAATCAAGATGGAGGTACATGTAACAAGGCTGTGCTCTAGCGGAGCCTGGTGGTCCCTGGCGCACAACTCTTGCTCTCAGAAAATAAGGACAAACACAGCATTGCATAGAACACAGTATGACATTGCTTTTGGAAATCATGCATTGCACATCCAAACTACTTATCTGTTAGCAGATAACTAACTTATATGTTAGGTTGTGCTGCTGTAGGCTCTTAGCCAATGAGAAGACAGATTGTGAGCACAATGTATAATAATGATAGAGATCTGACAGAGAAATCTGGAACAACAGTGTTTCTATGTATGCTACATGTGCTCCTATTGCCTGTGGTCAAGCCTATGTATAGCATTGCCTTCCGTACAGGTACACAGGTGTACAGGTTTTTCTGCTTTGGGGGAAGGTATTGTGTTACGTAAATTTAGGCTACCTTTTGGTTTTTTTGGGTAACCAACTAAAGTTAAGATAACTGTATTTACAGCACAATCCTTCTTTGCGTGTTTCCTTGGAAGTCAAGAAGATTACCATGAAGAAGATCTGAATAAGTTAGCTGCTATTACCCGACGCGAGCACATGAAAAGTAATGAGTTCATGGGAACATTAAGGTATTGACATGACAAATAACTTAATTGATCTAGATCTTAGGGTTTTTTATTTTATTTATGACTGAAGGATTACTGTGTATCAGAAGCTATACATGTAGTTTCTTTTTCAAAGTCTTTCCTGGAAAGTTAAGTCTCTTTGCTATCATGTACATGTATTTGCTTAAAGTAGCTTTTGCCCGTCAGGGCATATCTGGTAGTGTAATTAACTATATTTTTGGAACATTTTGCTCTCAAATGACACTATAAATTGTTAAACAAGAAGTTAATTGAATGTGAGCTACAACAACCATTTCAAAACAGGGGTGGTATTCCCCTGGACCTCTTCCTTCCCTTTCCATGCAACTTATCTGTCATTATTGTTTTGACACCGATGAATTGGTGTTGAAAAATATTTCAGCACTCAAACAGAAATTTCATATCTCCGCACGGCAATATAATATCCTTTATTCAAAAAACATTTGTTTTCCTATTGTAGGAGTAACAAGTTTGTGATAAGGATGTCAAAGGATACATATCAAGTTCTGAAGAAACATTTACAGGTGTGCTAGAAGCTTTTACCTTCTTCAGGTTCTGTTTCCAATATTTTCCACCAGTTTTGCATCTATCATCCAAAGCTGTGGTCCCTAGACAATTTTGATCTCAATTCCAGTCAAGAATTTTTGTGTTTTTCACAGCAATTAATTTGTATATTGTTTTAAGATTATTTTACACAAAATGAGTGATTTCTTATGGCATTTTATTTTGCAGGACCAACAACAAGATCTACTGCTGACCCTAATTCAACAACATCTTCATTTTGATGGTACTTTAATTTGTTTCCCATGCAATTTCATATAATATGGTATGTTTCTGAAGAATACAGTATACTCTGTACAAGTATTTTGCTAGCCTTATAAATAGCAATTTACACATCCAGCGATGTTTTTTTTTCGTCCTTGGACAGTTTTTGAAGGAAGGCCAAGAAACAAGCAAACAATAGAAGCCACTGCAGGTGCAGTAACGGGCGAGGCAACATTTGAAGGTAAGTTGCTCAGATTTTGGTGGTGAGAACAGTAATGATGATGATGAGTAATAAATAAATACTAAATGAATAATAATAAATAAATAATGATTTGGAGGTAGCACATCCACAAAGTGGTTCTTCATCTACGTGATTCCTGGTCGAATTGGAATTTGGAAATGTTGGTTTTTGAGGAGAGGGGAAAACCGGAGTACCTGGAGAAAAACCTCTCGGAGTAAAGGAGAGAACCAACAACAAACTCAACCCGCATATGGCGTCGACGCTGGGATTTGAACCCGGCCAACATTGGTGGGAGGCAAGTGCTCTCACCACTGCGCCATCCCTTGCTCCCCAATGATAATGATGAGGAGGAGGAGGAGGAGGATGACCACAGCAATAAAAAAGACAATGGGAATTTTTTAGGTTTAAAATAACTCATTGATAAATAATTGTTAATAATTATTAGTAATTTATTGTTAGTCCAATAAGAAAATGGCTCTATCCCTTTTTAAGACGTCCACTTTAGTACATGTATTTGTTTTCTTGAGGATGTTGTATTTATCTATTTACAGCTAATAAGAGCAAGGTATATTATGGGATTCCACCAGAGCCTGATCTTGGAGTTGTAATAGAAGAAGAGAATGAAGATGAGGATGATAAAGACAAACCAAAGGTGACATTATCATCATCACTACAACGATATCAAACAAAGAATCATAAGTTCACTTCAGTTCAGTTTATTCACAAGTCTGTAATATTTTCACTGTATATAAAATAACAAATAAGACCAAAAAAAGAAAAGAAAGACATTAATGACTTTGGTAGAAGTGTACGGTGGTCAGAGGAGTTTAATAACCAATTTATATGTAGTTAACTTTGAGATTTAAGCAGAGAGTGTACACTGTAAATTGCAACATTACTGATTTTGTCTTTGTTTGCGTATTTTTTTTTTCTAGAAAAAGAAAGTAAAAAAAGATTCAAATGGGCCAGGTAAAGAATCCCTTGGTATAAATAAATACTGATGAAGACTATACCAGTTACCAAGATCTTTAAAAAAAATAAAACTTATGGCTGTTGAGCTATTGAAGGCATTTATTACCAACAAATCATTAACTCTGATGACTCTCAAAATGTCACCTTTTTAGTCTGCTTTTGTGGTAACTAATTTGAGTTTACCAACTCATTTGATAAAGCCATAATTTGGTGTTTCACCGCCACTCTGTTCTGTCAAACCCCTAAAAAAATTCCATAAGACATAAGAAAAGCCTGAACTGTACCATAAAGGTCAGTCTTGATGACAATTTATCCTTGACAACTTACAGCAGTGGCCGATCCAGACCTTCAGGTAAGGGGGGACACGGTCATCCAGACCCTGAGATAAGGGGGGGTGCGTTCTCGAAAAAAAATTTTTTTTCGGCCCTTCAGGCCTCACTTCGATCTAAAACTGGGGGGGGGGGGCGGGCCCCCCAGGCCCCTCCCCTGAATCCACCAGTGTACAGTGCAAGGTAGTTATAGAGTAATGAGTTTCACAATGGCCTGATACACCTCTTTAGGGAAGAAGAAACAAGAACACAACCCAAATGCTCCACCACTCAACCGGCAGATTCAGTTTCCAGTCATGTAAGTATGCTACTGGAAATACGAAATGCACTGCTGTAGGTCTGTATGTGGTCCCACTAGATACAGCATTGCTCATGCAAAAGTAAGCTAACACCCTCTAGTGAAATGCAAATCGCATTGCACGCTACATGATTCTCATCGTGCGCTTCACGATTCTGTAGTGCAAGGCACAATTCTTGCAGCGCGCGATGCTCTAAACACTGTAAGTATCATCTTGTGTAATTCTAAGAAACGTTACCGTGACTAACATGCAAACAGTTTTAACTGCTGCGACCTACAGACTGTTGAGTATATTCACCTTTTAAGGGATCAACATGTCGGTATGTTCTTAAACTTTTTGTCGAAAGCCTCTTGGATTCTAAGCCATGATAGAATGACCTACATAGCGGTACTCAGTTTTTGGAGAGGGTAGATTGTTTATATACAGCAGTGTACACATTGGCTGTTGATTCTGTTTGTCTCTACTCCAGCCACCTGTGGTTACGTTTGACGAAGCCCGAAACCATAGTTATGTGGCCCAAAAATTTTGTAGTGTTCAATAGCGTCCTATTATCTTTATCACGCTTGTTTCGTCTCATCAAATCTTAAAGAATGAATCATATTACACATTTAACCAGCTTGTTCCGTCTCATTATCGCTTAAAGAACGAGATCTATTACATACACTATTTTTAATACTAAGAATTCGGGCGACATAACTCAGGATTTCGGGTGACTTTACTAAAAATTTCAGGCTCAGAACTTCGGGAGACTTGACCGGTTACTAGTCTAACATTGACACTATTTGAATAAGATTCGATTTTAAAGTGGAGTTTTTCACCTTGCAGGAAAGACAGTGATAAACTAGTGAAGATAACTTTACTGAGAGAAGCTGCTAAAAGAGTAACACTTAGTCCTGATAATCTTCCCTCTATCTGCTTTTACAGTGTACTCAATGCTCATTCAAGGTAATAACAAAATTAACATTAAAGGTGGCTGAATCTTTCAAAATTTCATGTTGTTGTTCGCTTAAGTAAGAATACTCCCATGTGAAATTACTGCTGAAGAGGTTTCATTTGATTGGCCACACCAGAAGATTTCATCCACAGACTCAAAAGGTAGAAACTACACTCATTCCAAATCAAAACAAAGGATATATATCTTGAAAAACGCCGCGGAAGACAATTCATNACACTATTTGAATAAGATTCGATTTTAAAGTGGAGTTTTTCACCTTGCAGGAAAGACAGTGATAAACTAGTGAAGATAACTTTACTGAGAGAAGCTGCTAAAAGAGTAACACTTAGTCCTGATAATCTTCCCTCTATCTGCTTTTACAGTGTACTCAATGCTCATTCAAGGTAATAACAAAATTAACATTAAAGGTGGCTGAATCTTTCAAAATTTCATGTTGTTGTTCGCTTAAGTAAGAATACTCCCATGTGAAATTACTGCTGAAGAGGTTTCATTTGATTGGCCACACCAGAAGATTTCATCCACAGACTCAAAAGGTAGAAACTACACTCATTCCAAATCAAAACAAAGGATATATATCTTGAAAAACGCCGCGGAAGACAATTCATTTCACCACACCGTAGGTTTTCATTTGTTAACACGCAACGAAGGATTGGCAAAAGCAGTGAATTTACAAAAACTGGTTATGGCTTTTTTTACGGTATGTGTTAGTGCAAATTGCATATTTACAGAGAAGAGCAAAGTCACGCAATTTCTCTGTTTGAGCAGTACATTATTCATGTGCGCGTGACGAACAATGTGCATCAAATTGTAAAACATTATTCATTATTAAGTGTAAAGATTGCTTTATACCTAAGGGTAAGAAAGATCTCTGAAAATGGCAGAGTTGCAGAGATGACCTTTCACCATTATTGCTGGATCGAAATATCTTATGTACTTCGTATGAATTTCGTCTCTTAATCTTCTTGCCTCTCTTGTAGTTTAAACACGGTTAGTATATCGGAGGATTCGAGCCTTCTATCCGGTGGATTTGAGGACAGCAGTGTTCGTGTTTGGAGCCTTACACCCAAGAAACTACGCATGCTCAAACCCCCCTCTGAACTTGCTCAAATCGATAAGGAAGCAGGTCAGTGAAAATTACATTGTCAGGTGATAAATATTTCGACCAATCACAACAGACAGATACTCAGATCATCCAATCAGTAAGTTGGTCTGAATACATGTGGCAGGAAAATACGTCGCGAGCTTCAGTGAAACTTTCGAGGTTCCTAAAGCCTCTGTTTCAGAGCGAGGCTAAGTGCAAAGCCATTGATATAGAAAGGTTTTTTTGCACTTAGTCTCGTTTTGAAAGAGAGAGTTTTTGGAAGACGGAAATGACCTATTGGATTGATTATGCGCGTGATTGGCTAATTGGCATCTCTGGTTAATATTAGCTTTTACAGCTACTCTGTTGATCCGAGTTTTAAATAAAGGTGATGTTATGTACATCATAATGTATGGACAAAAGTACATTTTGTAATTTGTCACTTTCATAGACTTCTTTTTTCTTGGCATGCACACACTGTACCTTTATCTTATCAATCCTGGACTCAGGTCTTTTTTCTTCTTTCTCTTTGTCCTCATTTTCTAGAAAATAACAAAGTGGTAAAGTTCAGTTCAGACGACAAAGTTTGTCTGCACTTTCTAAATAAATGGTGATTTCAGGGGCACCCAATGTTAATTTTCCGAAAATTATTCTCTATTCAGAAGAAGATTTGAGATCTAGAATTTTTGGAACATTTGTTGTAATAAAAATTTCTCACAGCCCTCTATAAATTTTTACTTCCTTGTCTTTTCTGGTACAACATGTACTGGATGATAGTAAGATTAAAATGAACGAAAAAGAGGAAGCAAAATATATATAATCCTAATTTCATAGACAATACCCGGTAACAATTTTTTTGTTAACCATTTCCAGTACAGATGTATGTCATGCAAACCTTTATTTCCCTTTTATATTTATAGCAAAAAACAGCTGTTGTATCCAATTACCTTATTTATAATACACCCACAAAGACCTCTACTCTAGCTGGGGTTATTTGAATCAAAACCCAAATTTCACCAACAGTATTGCCGATAATGTGTCATAAAAATATAGCTGAAGCAAAAGGAGATTAATTAAATCTACTGAAGCAAGTTATTATTCAGATGTTCAAAAAATATTGGACCAGAAGAAAAATCAAATACAGTGTTTTGTTGACTCTTTGATCAGCAGTACAGACGCCATTATTTCGCTACTGGGAAGCTTTTTCTTCTTGACTCATGACACAGTGACAATTTATCAACAAGATCAAGATAACTCTCTCTTTCTCTTTCTGCCTTTTTATGATCACATTTTATTTTCAAAACAACAGATTGAAACAGTGGCATTCAAGCTCAACAGACTGACCAGAGGTGAAGACTTCCAGATGCACTAAACCACAAATTAAGGCTAAGGTTTATAATGCAATGCACATGGAAAAAAGACTTGTAGAAAGAGTGTCTTTTCCATAAATCATGCTCTGAATTCACAGATGAATAATATAAGAAGAGCGTAAAACGGCATAGTATTGTTCACTGAGGACAACGGGTTTATTTTAGAACACTTCATCATTTTTA